CAGGGGGCCGTTGCTCAGGACCAGAGAAAGTTGTGCATTGGGGCCTGACTGAGAAGAGGCACTGCTGACCAGAACTGTTTCCTGGGCATTTCTGAACTGTTAGCATTCCTAGTATTGTCTGTAAATTCTGTGTGACCATTGCAAGGGATTATCATGCCCCACAGAGAAATAGAAAATACTGTGTGAGGAAGTGTTGATGCCAAAATTTGTAAAGGAGGGTGGAGGCATGTCAGACCTCTGCCTCAGGAATTGACCAAGGGCTGATGTTGATAGTAATTCCTCTCATTCCCTCTTGTCGTCATAGTCAGAGGAGGTCAGACACCACTTCCATGTCCTTTTTATACTAAGGAAGATCTAAATGAACATTTAAAAAAAAAAAAGTTTTATTGTGAATTATGTGATAGTTTACATGGGAGAACATTAACTTTTCATTCATCCTATTGTATATCATTACATTGCCATGGTTACAAACCCCTCTATGCATCATCAAACAATCAAAGTGTATACACTGCCAGCCTGCCTCCTGGTCGTCAGCACACAGCCCCTCTCCCTTTCTGGGTCTAGAGTCCCCAGTCACTCCATCTTTCCACGTCATTGTCTCTTCCTCTGTCTCTGGCGTCACTGTTTCTCTAGATAGGGTCCTGCACTCCGCTTTTCTCCCTTGATGGTCCCAGGGACCTCCGCTCCTGGACTGCAAAGTCAACCACTCCCCATCTTTTACTACAAAACATCTACCTTTACATTTCCAACCCTCACAGAAAATGAATATTTTTTTATATACGTCTGAAACTTTACCTTAAGTTTCAAACGTATATACAAAATGGCACTAGACATACGTATGAGATGCTAGCATAAAAGTAGTTGTTAAAGCCATAGATAAATAAGATCATCGAGGGGAAGCTTGTCACGTGTAGAGAGAAGGAAGTCAAGTCCAGAAACCAGCGAGCACTAGAAGAAAATACTTGTTATTTTTGTTTCGTTGGCTAGTTGTTCATTGATAGATGACATCCTCATAGCTATGTCTAGCCCAGGGACAAGTAGAAGCGGGAGATAAAATCTTGGGAGGTTGCATGGTAGTCTTCAGATTGTATATATTTGAGAAAGCACTTATTTGAATATGTAGCCCCAGACAAACCCAACATAAGGTGCAGATAGGATAAGATTCCCAGAAGACCAAGTCCCTCCTCTTAATTTTTCTCTTGACTGACAAGTCAAGAAAGTACATTTCTTAAAAAGGGAGTGATAAGCAGTGGTAAGGGAAGCCAGAAGGCATACCAAAATAAATCCTGAAGAGCCCTTGGTTTATGCTAAATGACTGTGGTCAGTGTAAGGTGGATGTTGAAAACACTGGCACTTCATTTATTCTGTATTTGTTTAGAACCCGATGGTAGCAGATGTGGAATGACCATCCTGTAGAGATGAATTCCTTCATTGGAGAAGAAGTTAACTATAAACTTTATTAACTGCTCTGACAATCTACAATTCCTTTATTCTAGCATCATGGCTGCCCAACTTTTGAGTCATTTAAGTCATATGACTTGGTTAGCAGTATCTTTACTCTACTCTGGAGTCTCTTATTAGTTAGAAATGGTTAACACTTTACATTGGTTATGTTGAATTGTTAGGTGAGCCCTCTTAGTTGCCCATAGGCACACCTTTCTTGGGCACCCACTCAGCAAAAAGCAGCAGTGTGCAAATAACCTGTACTCATTTGGTTAACTTTTCACTTTGCTTTTTGACTTTTAATTCAACCTAAACATTAATATAAGAAGTTTTGATAATAACCCATGAACTTCATCCTTTCTAAAAGGTAGTGTGGCTCTCTTCCTGTAGTGTAACCATAGCAACTGACAGAGAACAGAGAGAGAAAGCTTTCACACACGCTGTGCTAATTAATCCTGTCCTATGGTTTTTCTTCAGCTGGAGAATGCCATTTAATAAATTTTGCATGGGTAAGCATGTTTTGATGCATGCACTGTATAAATATGTAGCGAGAGCTTTGCCAAGAATATTTGAGGGGAAAAAAAAAGGCAGTTATATAGTCATGCTTGAAGGTATCCTTTCTTGGTTTTTTTTTGGTTGTTGTTGTTATTTTGTTTTTGTTGTTGTTGTTGGGTTTTTTTTTTTGAGTCATTGCTTAAATAATTTGCTCCATCCCTGAAACTTTAGGGAATTTATGTATCTTTTTATCCAAACATGCATTTTTTAGGGTAGAAATCTTTATATAAGATACTTTGGGCAACAAAATGTTTTAATTGTGTTAAAGGAGAAACGATTAGAGAGTTTTCTCACGTGATGCAGAAGAACTTACCTTTAGGAACATGCTAACATTCTTCATCTTCTATCACACAGACATATGTGCAATAGGATTTTAAAATATGTACAAACCATTTTAAGAAATTAATATTACCAATTAAACTCCATTGTGTATTGAAAACTCTCATTTTCAATGTTATTTTGGGGGTTGTATGCTCCATTAGGATGGAGTTTGGGCACTCCTTAGTGGGAAGGAAGAGAATCTTTTAGGTAACTAGCATTTTTCTATTTTCCAGAAATATTTAACTGGTTAAACAAACTCACCTTCAGAGAGTCCATAATCCAAACCTAAAAACCTATTGTCCTGGATCCCCAGCCCAACTCAGGCGACGACCCTATAGGCAGGGTAGTACTGCTCCATAGGGTTGACGAACCTGTGTAAACCTCGCAAGAAGCTGGTCTTTCTCCTGCTGCGCAACTGTTTGGTTCAAACCCATGACCTTTTGGTTAGCAGCTGAATGTTTCATCAACTTTACTACCAGGGCTCTTTGAGTGAACATGTATTTGTTAAGTACCTGAGTCAGTTCCGGCTCATAGTGACCTATTTTAGGTTTCCAAGAGCAGCTAGTGGGCTTGAACTGCCAACCTTGTGTTTAGCAGTTTAGTGCTTACCCTAAAGAGCCACACCAGGCTCATGAGTGAACATAATGGACTGAAATTACATGCAAATAGTTTTACTTATTACTATTTCTAGGTTATTTTGAGTTTTTTTTCTCTCTTTAAAGCTGAAAATAACACAAGTTCTATAACTAGCTTGCTTATCTGAACTGTCAAAGGTAATCTGCTTTTCTGTTTTTCTGTCCCTCTAGACTAGCTTTCTGACAACATAGCCTCAGGAAAACCAAGGGAATCAGTCTAAATCTTTCTTTGTCCTCTATGACTTGACAGTTGCATATGGAACCAGACGAAACCTATTTAGGTTCTTGTGCTCAGCTCGGTTCCTGTATGGATTCATGATTATTTAGAGAACAAGACCCTTTGATGGGATCACCAAATCTGGAGACACTCAGCTATCCTAATTGTCCTATCTATTGTTCATTTTTGCCTGAATTGAGGTAGGATTAAATGTTGTAGAGAAAAGTAGCTATTTTGAAAATCCATTATCAAAAAGTTAAGAAAAATTGGTGACCACATATATAGAGAGCATTGGTGTGAGTTGTACATTTAATACTTACATATGTTAACTGATTTATAATTGCTATTGGAGTATTTTAGCATCTGCATTGGAGAGAAAACGTTGGGTGACTATAACAGTAGTTGTATTAATTAGAATTAATTAGAAATTCTTCGTTTCACTAGCTGTTCTATTGATTTAGAAATTTACATATAACATAGAAAACAGAATGCTAAATGTTTACTGTACAGAAAAAATGAGACTGTAATCCTGGTAGGATCGCTGTAAAAGCCGTGTATGTGCTTTAGAGTTTACACCTGTCCTGAAGATACTCAGACATTTAAAAAGAATATGTTTTCTGCTTATCTTTCTTTGGTGCATAAGAGACTAAACTGTATTAAAAGACAATGGAATTTTTCCATGAATATTTTTAAAGCCCCCTCAAATTTTGTCCTTTATATTAATATGACCATTTTCTGCAATTTAAAAAGGTTTTAAAAGAACATTTAAATTTTTTATATAATATTTCATCAACTATGCACAAGATTTATTGAACTTCTCCTGTATAATTATTTGTGTGGACTTCATCTGAGTTTCCCAGATAAACATTTCCTAGTGAGTGTTTGGCAGACACTGGAACCACAAGAAATTTTGAGACAAACCTTTGAGAAAAGTACCAGACTTTTTTCTTGGAAATTTCCAATATACATTAGTAAAATGAAGGACAATGAGAAGGTTCCTAGTATGGAGAGATTTTTAAAAATCCATTATTTAGATCCATCATCTCTAAAATATTTGAGCCTTGGAACTCTTTCTTATGACACTTACTGACTCTCAGAATTAAAATTCCTTGAACCATGTCTTGCAGCCAACCCCAAACCACGCCCATTGCCATCAAGTTGATTCTAATTCACAGCAAACCAGTAAGACAGAGTAGAACTGCCCCACAGCATTTCCACAGCTATAAATCTTCACAGAAACACAGTACCACATTTTCCCCTTTTTGAGTGGTTGGAGGGTTCAAATGTCTGACCTCTCCATTAGTGGTCAAGTGCTTTAAACGCTGTACTACCAGAGCTCCAGTATCCTGCACAGTCTAAGAGCTTTCTGTGCTTTCTGGTAACATCTAATTGTTTCTGTCATCTCTTCATTCTTCTGGTACTTTGGAGTTCTGGTACGATGCTACAGGATAATGCACTGGACTGCAGGGTCAGTTTGAACCTCAAGGTTGATGGCTCAAACTCACCAGCCACTCATTGCAAGTCCTAGACAGTGGTCTCTGTGAGTTGGAAGCTACTCAACAGCATTTAACAACAATGGGTACTATATTAGATTCATAACTTCTCTGCTCTATTATAAAACATAAGTGATTTATTGGTTATTAGCATGCATTGCAAACAGAAAAACCACAATATGCTTTTCCCAACGTTTCCATTAGCTCTGATACTGCATTCAGGTTTCTGTATTATAGTATGGTGTTAGATTTTTTTTAAGTTATAGGAATTCAAGTAGAAATTCCCTTGTTTGATTTATACCCATTAAACTTGTTTATGTTTCATATAACCCACAGGTCTTGCAAGAGCAAAATCCGTCCCTAGCCACACATATTCCAATGAAGTGGTTACTTTGTGGTACAGACCTCCAGATGTCCTCCTGGGCTCGACAGAGTATTCCACCTGCCTTGACATGTGGTGAGAAATGCAAGCTTTACTCTAGCTAATCTATCTATAGTGCTTAGTCTGGGTCAAGGCTAGACAAACATCCTAACAGCTTGAATGAAGATTAATGGCTCAGGAGTGTTTTCATGTGTGTGGCAGCCCTGTTGGATTTATTAAAACTTGATTGGGAATGTTCCCTAATCAGAGTCTCCCTTGAAGATGCTGTCTGATGATGATTCTGGATGGATAAGGACAGAGGTATTTTTCTGTCAGGGCAGTGACTTTTTTCTCCCTAAGGGCCTTAATTTGTTGCCTTGTATTATAACAAGGAAATATATATCTCCAAACAGCAGTATGCATTGGAAGTAACAGGAAACATGTTAAATTCACGACAAAGCTCAGATAAATGGTCTGTAAATTTTGCCGTGACCATTATGTACCAGACTAGGCTTTTAATGCCACTGAAACCTACTGATTCCAGTTATAAAAAATGAAATAAAACCATATTTTTAAATATAATGTTTCATTTTAGCATGGTCTTAGTTTCCTATGATGGTTTAGCAAAGCTTAAATATCTATCCTATGAGATCTGAATACCGGCAAGATTCAAATTAACGGTAAATTATGCTGAATTCTGGAGCCCTCATGTGGTGCTGTGGGTTAATGCCATGAACTGCAGTCATTTGAACTACAACGTTGGCAGTTCAAGCTCACCAGCCACTCCTCGGAAACCCTATACAGGGTTGCTATGGATCAGAACCGACTCAACGGCACTTAACAACAACATATGCTGAATTCCAAATCGTGTGATATATATTAAATAATCAAATAAATATTATATTTTTGCCACTTATAAGGTTTATCCTTATAGGAACTGTCTTTTAATTGGAGAAAAAAACACTTTTTTAGTCTCACAATTGTGTTGAAAGTAAAATAGTTCACACAGCATGTCATTGTTTTATAATAGGAATCATCCTCCGTTAATGATTGTGCTCCTGTACGTAGATTTCAACTTAATGTTCATATGATGTTTATGACCCCGATGTCTTGCTGTTGTGTACTTCACTGCTCTGCCCTCAGGAATTGCAGCTTTCAGTGAATTTGGCTATGATGAGGCATAGCTCCTTCCCTGATATCTTGATCTAGACATTTTATGGTGAGAAAGCAATGAAGATTCTTGCAGAATAGGGCACAATGTAGATTTTCTTAATTTAGGTTTCAGCACCTCCCAGGATCTGAAAGACCACTAAAAATTTATGTAATATTTTATGTACACTTGGATAATATTTAGTTTTATGAGATGTAGATTCATAGCTTTTTGTAGAACTGTAAAAGAGTCTAGATTCTCAAACAGCCTCTGATCTACTTTCATCAATTTTATATTGCCTTATAATAAACATAATGCCATTTTAATCCATATTCTAAAACACCAAATGAAGATGACTGTCTGTCACCAAGGGGCTCAGCTAATCTATCTTTTCATCATATTTCCGGGCTTTCTTTTGGACAGTGAATTACATAATTAGATTTTTCTGCAAAGGCTATGCAAGGGCATGGGCAAAATAAAAATGTAGACCAGTAGTTTCAGTAGATAAAAATGTTGAAATTAAAGGTCCCTGAATACATGAGGGTATCAGGAACTAACTTCCTGCCTTAAGTTGAGAGTTGGCTTTGGGAAGAATAATAGCTAAATATTTTTGAGTTTTGGGTGCTTTTTGTCTACTTTTTGAGTATGGAAATTCTAGTTTGTCTTTCGGTAAGGTCTTTTAAGGACTCCGCTAATAGAGCATAGTCTGAAAACATTTGTGATTGGAGCCAGTTTGGTCTCCAAACTGTTTGGTGGTTTAATGGAACTGTACCCTCACTAATCCAGGAGAAGCTGTTTCTTCTACACCAGTGACTCATATGTTCCAAATCTTTTGAAAACACTCTTTATAATGCAAAGAACCACAGGAGCTGTGGCTTGCTAATTAATGTCCTTGTTTCAGATGTGTAGTATTAGATTTCCAGTCCATGCATCTTCCTCCACCTTCTTCTTCCTTCCGGGTGTGTAAATGTGTGTGTTCTCTCCAGGAAGAAGGCAAGTTGGGTTCCTCATGCCAGTTTTCTGTGAAGAGAGGCATAACAGAAGCATAAGAAGATGCTGTTACTTAAATGTTGTTGTTGTTATTATGTGCTGTGGAGTCGGTTCCGACTTATACAGGGTTTCTGAGGCTGTAAATCTTTACGGGAGCAGAAAGCATCATCTTTCTCCCGCAGAGCAGCTGGTAATTTCGAACTGCTGACCCTGAAGTTAGCAGCCCGATTGGTAACTACTATGCTACTTAAATGAAAGGGAGGAAAACTGATAGAAAATAGTAGACCCCAAATGCTCTTTTATCTACATGCATAGATTATTCAGTGCCAAAACCAAATAGCAAATATGCTATATATGAGCTGCTTGCCACGTTTACTGGTTCTTTACTCCAAACCCTAAAATCTGAGTTATGTCTGTGCTATGGCTGTCATTCTGAATTGGACTTAATTCCAAGTCATTTTCTAAAAGCCATTTTGTTATTATGCCGTGAATCAGGTAAAATGTGTGTCTATTTCCAGTTAGAGAGAAGTTCACAGGACACTGATGTTTGTATAATCGATGGCCCTGATGCTAGGTAGTCAAAGACCTAGAAATGGGACTGTAATTGAGTCATGGTTCAGCTGTGCCCAAGAGAAGTGCAAATATTAACCCAGGGACAATGGCAGGGAGGCAGGTGGCTGTGGTTGCAGGCTATTTTTCTAGTTCATTTACCATTGTGGGGCAGTAGGGTGGTAACTAAAATCTAACGATCCCTACCCAGTGCTCCATTTTCCAATACTTATTTAAATCGCTACTGGCAATAAAAATATTAATGAAGACACATATGGATTAACATTATCATCAAGTGTTGAAAATCAGAAGTCAGCATGTTATGATTTATTGCTTTAGGTCTCCAACACCGTGGCAGTGTGTGAATGCACTGGGAGATTTGAGAATTCATCAAGAAAGAAGTGTTTGATACCTTTGTCTCCCTCCTTAAAGGAAGATTTAGCTGAAGAATCAAATTGCACATTGCTTCTTGTGTAACTTTTTTTAAATTCATGGATTTTATAACTCTTTGAAAGTCAAGGCATAGGGAATTATCTGTAAGCTTCTTTAAGAAGCCTTACAAAGTACTGAAAACCATGTTAAGAGAAGTGCAAATGCAAAAAAGAAAAAGCAGCTTATCTATGTAGCTCCTCCCTGGCCAGAGAGCTCTTCTCTCACTGATAAGTACACGACTCCAAATATGGTTTATATTACTGTGCATTGTTGTCCACTCTGGCTTGTAGTAATCCCATATGACCGAGTAGAACTGCCCCAAAGGTTTTGTAGGCTGCTATTTACAACAGCAGATCCCCAGGTCTTTTCTATCCAAGAGCAACTGATGGGTTCCAATTGCTGACATTTTGGTTAACGACTGAGAACGTAACAATTATTTCACTATCTTCGAGTTGATTCTGACTCATACTGACTTTTAGGGTTTCCCAGACTGTCAATTTTTACAGGAGCAGACAGCCTCATCTTTCTTCCAAGGAGCAGCTGGTGGGTTTGAACAGCCAGCATTGTAGTTAGTAGTCCAACATTTAACCCAAATTCTGCCAGAGCTCCTTATATTCCTTTTTAAAAGCTTGTAAATATGTTTAGAACTGCATTTTGCTTTCGAAAGCAGATCACTTAACATTATTTTCAGGGATTAATTTTTAATATGGGGTGGCAAAGTTATCGGTTTCTAGTAAATTCATGTGATTACCCCATCAAGATCACAGTGCTTTTATGTGAGGGCTAAGTGTAGTGTAGTACCATCTTGTGTTATTAACTACAGTGTCCCCCTACATGGTAAAGAGAGTTATACTGTGCCAGTCTCTTCCTTCCACTGCCTTTTTAAAAGTTAATTAACATATTAACTACGCTTGTCAAAGTACAGGGCGAATCATTTATAAATAATCCTGTCAAATGTAATGAGATTGCATATTAAATCACCCTTTTCTCTATTACATCTCCGATTTAAGATGAAAATTAATTTATTTAACATTGTAGCAGCTGGGTGGTTAGAAAAAAATTCTATATCAGTCTTGATATATAGAAAAATGTCTTCCTCCAAATTGATTTTGCATATATCAGAAAGGAAATTGCCTACTTGTTGGATATTATAAGCCCATTTAGCACCACTTTTTATTAAAGAAGCCTAATCATCATACATATTGACAATATACAGTGTTCTGCCATCATCTTTAAAATTTTTTTTTTTTTTAATCAAGGAACATTTATGTCATAAAATAGGTTTTCCTGCAACTCAGGTGGAATCCATGGGTGGAAATGATTAATGTGCTAAGCCACTAATAAATATTTGGAGGTTCAAGTCCGCCCAGCCGCACTTCAGAAGAAAGATTTAGTAATCTATTTCTGAAAAATCAGTCATTGAAGACTTTATGGAACACAGTTCTACTCTAACACACGTGGCGCTCCATGAGTCAAAGTTGTCTCCAAGGCAACTAGTTACTAGTATGGACTTAGGTTTAATTAACAGTGGTTTAAGAGAGACTGTTAATGAACCCTGCTTCACACCCCACCCCACCCCCTGGCAATATATTTGTTTTATTTGAGGACATATTACTTAATTTGAGCCTTGAGTAATAATAGTAACAATAAACCCAAATCCAAACCCATTGCCATTTGGTTGATTCTGTCTCATAGCGACCCTGTATAGTATGGGTCTGTGCATGAGCAGAAAGCCTCAACTTTCTGGTTGTTTTGAAAACTACAGGAGCAGCTGGTAGTTTTGAACTACTGGCCTTATGGTTAGCAGTCCATTGCTTATCCTACAACACCACCAAGGCTCCTAATATTAACAATGTTGTTGTTTTGTGCTGTTGAGTTAATTCCAACTCAAAGTGACCCTGTATAGTTTTTCTGAGGAGCCGTTGGTGGGTTTAAACCACCAACCTTGCTGCTAGTAGTCACACCAGGATGCCAT